CTGTTCGTCTGCCTCAGTATGGTTCTCTTCCCAACGTACAACTTGTTCTGTATCACCACTCTCGGATGCTGCCTGAGCATCCACATCCTGTGGGTTCCAGTTTCCATCTCTCCTACCATATTGTCTCGGACCTTGGCGATCAGGACCACTCTGATGGTCAAAATCTCGATTTGAGTTGAACAGCATACCAGTATTCAGTCGAGGTGAAGAGCAGGTTCTCACTATTTCTGGATGATAACTTGAATAGTGAGGACCCGGATATCCTGCTATCCAAAATACAAACCAAACGAGCAGAGAAAACTAAGAAAGAGAGACCAACATACACACACACACACACATAAATATATATATATGTGGATACATATCAGTGACACTAAACATAAGTCATCATCCAAGCGCGAAATCCAGATCCTCTATATAGTCTTCTTTTTGGTCCAATGTATTCCTCCTCTCTTCTCGCTACCCACAACACATAATCCAGTCCACCATAATTTTAAAAAAATATCAGCGGTGATAACAGGCAGCGGTATCTTACTCCCAGCTGAGTTTTCCGTTGTGGATCACCCCTACATATGTGGATCTCCTACATATGACTTTGTTGAGCAATCAACTGTTGGTTACTTACTTTTACTTTACTTCGGCTATCTCCTACGGGAGGATGAGCCGGCTTCATAAACGTCTCGAATCATCGCTGCCCAGGCGCGGCAATTTGTAAGAGAGTTCATGAAGTTTCATGGGAATTTGGTACGAGTGATGTCCCCAGCATCGCTCGGCCTTTTGTTTGAGAGTGCAGCTCTAGCCTTTACACAGCCAAGTGTGACCTACAAGGCAGTAGGAGTGGAGTAAGGAGTCCACTATCCATTGGCAGCCGGTGACCGGAGTTCGGTTCATACGCCTTTTTGAATGGGGCCAGACATCCAGGACATCCAAGAAGCCCTTTGTCCATACGTCTGCCGGTGAACTCCGGTGAGCTTCATACGCCAGTCGTTGAAGGTTTGGAATCAGGGTTTAGCCATCTCCCTAGACCGTCATCCAATGGACAGTCAACCCGGTGGAGAGCGCCGGGCATCCGCTTTCGCCCTCTCACTGTTGGTTGGTTTGTTCCCAGTCAGAGTTTCTTGTTGTTAATTCTTTCCGGTCGGCCGGCCGGCCGGTTGGCCATTTGATCTTCAGTATGCAGCCAGCCAGTGAAGTCTACTGTGACCTGTTGGAAATACTTTTCGTGACTAATACGCAGTGCAAGTTTCTGATCTGTGTAGAAGAACTCACTGACTGACTGACTGACTGATTTGACATCTGTGTTGAAAAGAATCCAAATCTTGTTCTTCATGCTGAGTTAGTGGAGAAGATTTCCAAAACTGGTTTCAGGTTGCCTTTTCGATTCTGGCTGGCTGGCTGGCTTTAATATCTTCATCTATTCCGCTTGCACAGTTGGAACGGTGCTTCCCAGATAAGTGAAGGAAATAACCTCTGTTAAATCTTCCCGTTGAGGGTAATTGGTGCTGATTGTTGTTGCTACTGTTGCTTGGTTTGTTTGCTTACTCTTCATCGCCTGCGTCTTCTCTATGTCCACCTGAAGTCCTGCCTACACTGCCTGCCAGCCTCTTCTGCCAGTTTGTCAGTATTCACCAGTAAGTCTTCGAGTTTGTGTGACGCTAAACAGTAATTATACACAAGTGAAATCCACATCTTCTAGAGTTTTAATTCCATTATAGATAAGATTTTATTTTGATAAAGTCTCACAGTGTTGTTATACAGTAATGTTTACTGATGACGTTTCGAGCACAATTTATTGCCGCTCATAATCATATCAAGGTAATCACACGACTTCCTAAATTCATTTATATAGTTCCATTGTTTTTCTCTTGATTTTCACTTGATTTGATTGGTAATAGTATTTTCCATATTTCAGGTATGAGTGACGAGTCATTCCTATTGCATGTGTTGCGTGTAGACTCGATGAACAAGGCAGGATTCGGTAATCACTCTATCTCCACCTACCCAGATTACTTTTTAGAATTTTAACCCTATCCCACTCTATTGTGTGGTTGTGTGTTAATGCATGCATTGCAATTGCTGAGCTTTTTTCTAAATTGCTTATCTTCTCGGGGTCAACCATTCTTACCTTAGCTAAATTCTTATGCTCTGACAATCTGACTACCCCTGACCTACTAGTTTGACCTATGTAGTTGACCTGACTCACAGTCATTGCATGGTATTTTGTAAATAATATTATTTTGTCTAATTGGGCCAACCGACAGGTCCTTTAACCTACAGAGCTTGTCCCTGAGTGAGTTTGTAGGTTTAAATGCCACCCTAATTCCTATTTTATTTAGAATCCTACGTAGTGTCTCAGATGTCCCCTCTTTATATGGTATAACTGTGGATGACTTATATTCTTTCTTATTTATGTTATTATTACTAGTTTCACAATTATTTTTATTTTGTTTTTGGCCTTTAGTGATCTTCCTAATGAATTTTATAGGATAGTTATTCAACACCAACGCTTCTTCTATCTGTTTTAATTCATCATTTAGATCTTTTTTTGTGCTACTTAGTGCCACTGCTCGGTTTGTTAAACATTTAACTAAGCCTGCCTTAACAGATAAAGGATGAGACGAATTAAAGTCTAAATATCTATTAGAATGCGTTGGTTTTCTATAAACACTAGTGTGTAGTTTGCCTTCTTCTATTCGTTTTATCTTAAAATCTAACATCGCTAATTCTCCTTGGTCATTTTCTGATTCAAATGTGAATTTTATTCCCTCAACTTGTGAGTTTATATGTATCAAGAAGCTAGAGATGTGTTCTGTTCTAGAGTTTTATTATCGGTCAGCGCAGCATATTCCTGTCTTCTCATTCCCGGGCACAGTCTGACGCATAATTCAGTTCATCACAATCAAGAATATCATTGGTGATAGTTGGGGCAAGCAAACCTGTCTGACTCCTGTATTTACTTCAAAGGCTTCTTATCAGTTTTCTTCTGTGGATCACCTGACAAGTGATGGCATTGTCATATGGCCAACTGTTGAACGAGGTTGGTAACGATTTTTGGGGCATCGCACTCTCCAAATTTACTTCGCGGTCAACGCTGCCAGTTGAAAGCTTTTCCAAAGTCGATGAAGTTCAGATGGAGACAGATTTGACTGCCATTCTATGCTCTGTTCGACAAACATAGATCTGAAAGATAGTATTTAATTAACAAACAGTTGCTCTTTTTCAGATCGTGGAAAACGCCCATATGCACGTTAGAAAGAAGAGAACACGAAGTTCAGCAAAGACAACTGTCTTTTTGGTGATTTCATTTTCAAAAGCAGCTTTACAATCGCATTTAAATACATAATTTTACATAGATACAATTCTTATTTGATTCCACATATAACTACGACGGTGAATAAAAGGTGATAATTATTTTCAACTAGATATGGTTTATTAGAGGCTTAGAAACAAAATTAACACAGGATTAGAACGGATAACAAGTGTGTAAAAAAATGGGCATGGAAACAAAATTGAAATAATAATTTTCAACTTGAGATGGGAGTTAGGAGGTGTGAATATAGATTACAAGAGCCTTAAAAACACAAAAATTCCACAGGATTAAGATATAATTGTAAAATAGTTATTTCAAACGAATTATAAATGTGAACAGGGAAAAGCATAGAAACAAACTTAAAATAACTGATTTTATAACTGAAAAAAATTAGGTGGATCTAATAAAGACTGAGGGACTAAGGATCAGACACACAGCGAACGATAAATGCTCAAAAGGAAAAGTGAGGACGAAAAACGACGAAGAAGAGAAAGAAAAAAACGGAAGCAAAGGGAACATACCAAACTAGGTGCATGGTAGTTGTAGTGGTTGGACTAATTTCTTTTGAACACACAGCTCAGGCTTATCGATGGATATTGCGAGGGCTTCTGCAGTACAGAGAAGTTGGACACATACTGTTTTCGGTAGGTTTCTGTTGACTTGGTAAATTACTTTGAAAGAATCAGTTGAGATGTTGTGGGACGTGTTGGTCAAATGTTCAATAATGGCACTTCTGATTGAACCGGTCCCTCCTTTTTGCAGCCACGCTGGGTAATGTTCTCTAACACATTTTGAAAGGACGCGCATACAACGACCTATGTACCTAGCTACTCTCGAAGAGCCTCTCGTAATTATCACCTTTTATTCGCCGTCGTAATTATTTAGAATCAAGCATGGATTGTATCCATGTAAAATTATGTATTTAAATGCGATTGTACAGCTGCTTTTGAAAATGAAATCGCCAAAAAGATCGTCATCTTTGCTGAACTTCATGTTCTCTTCTTTCTAAAATCCGTACTGCATCAATATATATATATATATATATATATATATATATATATGATATCAAATGAACTTGTTTAATATTGTGGTGAGAGCTGTCCGCTAACCAAAATTGGTAGACAGCAATTTACGTCAATGTTTACTTCCCATATCTTGGTCATGAGGAAAAACAAACAAAAACAAAGACTAACTCAACAACCAATCACAACAGCAGATTTTGCGTGGGCGGATACCATTCGCAGATATATATATGGTCTGACCCTCGAATAAACGGCCACAAAGAGGATGACAGAATAACTTCCAGTGAGAAAACAACCAATCAGAAGACGCTATTTCTTTGATAATAATAACGCTAATAATAATATACATAAAAATCTGTTGATTTCCTCAGTAAACAATCTGTTGACTGACCGTTGTCTTCTGTTGTTACAATATGACACTGTATTCTACCATAACACTCTAATTCAAGTGATATTTCACTCCAAACTCTTGGAGTGGAACGTAAATAGGAATCTAGAAATGAGTTTAGTGCGAGTCCACGGGTGATACAATGAGAAAAGTGAAGGATTATGAGTAATCGCAAAGCCAGATGTCGGTGATCGCGGAGAACCAAATGCAACTGAGACCTTGGGATACAAAGAATAAATAATACATAAATAATCTTTATAATATACTAGAGATGACATACCATTTAGATTAAGCTCTGTTGAAGCTAGACGCCAAAGATTGGATCTCATTCTTCTGTGACTATGTTTGGAGGAATTTCTCTTGATGGATTGTTTATCAATTTGTTTAACCTGTCACATATATACAGAGAGAGAGAGAGAAGAAAAGGACGAGTGAAATCGGAATTTCCAGGGAAATGACTGATTTAGAAGTTAGATTACAAAGTGGCGATATTATACATCAGAACTGTTAACTCTACACAATAAAAATTGATTAGATTTACAAAGAAATATTCATTAATCCGAGTTTGTGATGATGACCCGTGGTCAAACTCGAAAAACGAACCTAATCCTTACAAATCGACTCTTGAAAAATTAATCTGATGCTCGCTCATAACTGGTTACATGACGGAGTTTCCTGAAAGTCCTGGTAAGAAGTCGTGACCAGTAAGGTGTGTGTGAGGATGGATTTCCCACCGATGACACTGGGTGGTGGTGGTCGCGTTAGATCAAGAATTGTTAGAAGTTAGAATTCATTGGCAGGCCATTGAAATGGGTCCCAGTTGGTGTGTCATGCCGATGACTACGAAAATTAGGATGCAACAGCTGTCTAGTACTGCGTACTGGTTTTCAATGGTTCTCTAACTGATATCAATCCGTGGTCAAACTCGAATAATCTGCTAGCATCTGTGTAACTTCAGGAAAAACCAGAGTTTATAATGACTATTAGGATTAAAAAGGCGAGCATACGTTGGGCCGGCTGGACTTCACAAACGATATGTCTGAGGTTATACCAACCCAAAGATCTACAAGCGAAAATTGGCAGTCTGGCAGAAGCAATGAAAACAGGACTTTAAGTGAACCTAGAGAAGACAGAGATGATGAAGAAACCAAAGCATCAATGGGATGACCACCGAGGAAATCTCAGCACGGATAATATAGACGGCTCGTATGGCATTTGTCTGCCAGCTTACGCCATCTCTGGCCTAATAGACGTGATATCTGGCTGACTGTCAACCAAACGCCGTGTGCTGTGTACTCCTCAGCAGTTTGCTACGTTCTCCTTTATGGCTGGCTATAAAACATGGCCATTGAAAGTGGAAGAAATGAAACACCTGAAATCTATCTCCCGTGTTGAGTGGTATAACAAGATGAGTAATATTGAGGTTAGGCTTCGATCGATCGAGTGAGTGCTAGGTAAGGAGGAGAAATCAGTCGACGAGGTTGTGAAGTTACACAGACTGAGATGATTAGGTTATGTGTTACGAATGCATCCCTAGCCATCCATCGTCTTCTTCAACAACAGGCAATGTTAGCTCACTGATATAGGATTGATCAGGGTGAAAAAGAGAGTGCCAGAGGTGGTCAAACCAAAACATGATTTCATCAATCAATGAAATCTACAGCAGACAGTTTAAGCCAGCCAGTCAGCCACGGAGACGTGTAGACTTTCTGACTGGTTGGAGTCCTAGGGACGGCAAAAACCTGTGGGTGGAGATAATTGGTTATATGGTTCAAAGTGATCGTTGTCAAATGCTGGCGCAGATGCATTCACCAGTCTACATTCAACATCAACAATACTCATTTGGTGGTATATATATACACACACACACACCACTCGAACAATTTAGAGTCGTGTAAAAAGTTGACATCAACTGACAGCATAAAAAACATCGTCATCACAAATTGAAACTACTAAAAGAAAAAAACAATAACTCTACCTACCTCTAAAAGTATTGATTCCAATTTTTGTGCAAATATATTTTCACGTTTTTCCCTTGACAGAAGTAAGTGTTCCGGTGGGCCTAAATCAGTAGGCAGGATTTTTTCACCTAAAATCGCCTCAGATTTTCTTCGCTTCACTTCTTCTTCCATAGACAGTGATAATGCATAAGCTGTATGAATATCTTCACTTTCTGGTCTAAAATTATATACATACATACATAGTTATACTTACAAATAAATAAGTAGTATATTTATTATCTTGAAAAATATTTTCAAGTGGGAGATTTTAACCGATTAAAGATGTACATTATAAATTTCAAAAGATTAATTAGTTAATAAAGAAATATGCTTTACCAATAACTTATTTATCGGGTTCTACAGTTATATACATCAATAATATAGTTAAAGAACCTCTCGTATCACTTATCAAGGCTTCAGTAGTCAGGTGGTATATCATAATAATAATAATAATAACGTTTACAAAGTTATATTTGTAAAATCTCAGCGAAATTCAAATGATTAATTCCAAAGTTTCGTTCGGCAATCTGGTCCGAACTTCTTCAGGGAAATTATTCGAAATTAACATAACAAAGTTTATATATAAAGGGACACATTTTGTTTTTTAAAATTTTGTCCAATCGTGAGTCATGCAACAGTTATCAATATGTATAATAAATAAATAAACAGAATTGTATGTTTATATAAAAGTACATAATAATAACGATTTACTTTATTCCAAAAACAGAACTTGTGATATAGAATGGAATTTTCAGCATTAATCACAATATTGCATCTAATTTCCTCAAATTATAAATAAAAATTAATCACAGAGAAAATTTTCCACATTTACCATAGGGGCAATGTCAAAAACATTCAGCGTATAAAATGGAAATAATAATAATGTCTGTCTGTCTGTTTTCGACATAGAACTTTGCACAAATGTGCGGAAGTTCAAGTCGCCACATTCCGTGTAGCACGCGAAGCAAGAGAAGAAAGTACAAGAAAAGCATAATAGAAACAGTGAGCAGAGGTGTGAGACAAAGGAGTAATAACGAAGAACAAAAACGTTTCATTGGAAATCATAAGTCACAAGGAGTGGATGCATCTGCGCCACTGAGAACGATTTTGAGCCATGTCACCAATTGTTTCCAACCATAGATTTTTACCGTCCCGAGGACCCCAGCCTGGAAGTCTACACCTTCCTACGTGGCTTAGACCAACTGTTGTGGATTTCATTGACTGATGCCAAGTTTTTGTTTGACCGCCGCTAGCTTTTTTCCAGCCTGACCCTATATCCGCTAACATTGCTCGTCGAGGGAGGCGATGGCTTGGCATACGTAACACATGTCCTAACCATCTCAGTCTTTGTAGCTTCACGACTTCGTCGATTGATTTCCCCTGTTTACCTAGAACTCTACGCCTAACCTCCATGTTGCTCACCTTATTATGCCACTTTACACGGGAAATAGAACGCAGGCACCTATGATCAAAGACAGCTAGTCTTTTCATGTCTTCCACTCTCAGTGGCCAGGTCTCACAACCATAAAGGAGGACGGAGCGGACTGATGAGCAGTACACCCGCCCTTTGGTCGATAGTCGAACATCTCGTCTACGCCAGAGTCGGCGTAAACTAACAAATGCGAAACGAGCCCCTTGTATTCGTGCTGAGATTTCGTCAGAGATCAGCCCGCTGGGGCTGATGGTACTTCCCAAATAAGTGAAGCGGTCAACGTGCTCTACCACTTCACTTCCTATTTTTAAACTAGGCGTCGATGTAGTCCAGTCCTGTAACATCATCTTGCATTTGGCGGGAGCGAATCGCATGCCAAACATTCGTAGATTGCGGCTCAAGGTGTTTAGAAGACTCTGCATTTCGTCAGCGTCTTCGCCTAGAAGGACTATATCGTCTGCATATTCCAAGTCAACGAGATTATTCCCGGTAGCAAGTCAATCCCTGAGTCGCTGAAGTCACCTAGGGTTAAGTCCATTAACACATCTATGATGAAGTTGAATAGAAAAGGAGATAATGGGCATCCTTGACGGACACCACTGGTCGTCATCAGTTCAGATGACAGCTCGCCGTAAGCCCTCACCTGGCTGTATGAGTACGAGTAGAGTGCCTTAATCAGTGCAATATATTTTCTTGGAATTCCCTTTACAGCCAAGCATCTCCAGAGAACTTCCCGATCGACAGAGTCGAATGCTGCCTTTAGGTCAAGAAATATAATGACTGTTGGACGCCGGTAGGAATGCCTATGTTCTAGAATCTGTCGGAGGGTGAAGATATGATCAATACACCCTCTTCCTGGTCTAAAGCCTGCCTGGCTCTCTCGTGTTTGTGCTTCCCGAGCACCACTCAGTCTACGCATGATTATTGAGCCTAAGACTTTAGATACTATATTAGTCAAGCTAATCCCTCTGTGATTATCACAGGAAGACTTGTCTCCCTTCTTGTATATGGGGATAATCAGTGACTTACACCAACCCGATGGGACTTCTTCTGATTCCCAGACGCTGCCTAGTACCTCAGTTAATCCGGACAGTAAGCTGTCTCCACCGTACTTAAATACCTCTGGAGTCATTCCATCAGGTCCCGCTGCTTTGCCTAGTTTCAGATTGGTGACAGCTTTAGTAACCTCAGTTAGTGACGGAGGACCTGTGTCTATATCCCATTCAGGGAGGTGTTGGATGCTCGGAAGGTTGAGCGTGGCTGTGGGCAAATTAAACTGCTCCTCATAATGCTCTTTCCAACGATCCAGTCGTCTATCCTGTGAGCTAATTATAGTGCCATTTTTTTCCGAGATTGTCTCACTAATGATTTGTCTTCTCCCACCCGTTTCCCTGATGAGTCCAAAGAGTTGCCTGGTGTTGCCTATCCTCAAAGCTTTCTCCATCTCTTTGGCTTTTGTCGCCCACCACTGTTCACGGTCCTTGCGGAGACTTTTCGTAAGTTTCCTCTTGTGCAGCTTTCGCTCCTCATTGAATTCGGAGCTCGCCGGAATAAGTCTTCTAGCATCTATCAGTTCGGATGAGGCGGTGGAGATCCAGTGGTTTTTACTCACCTTTGGGTTTACCTTATTCACAGCTTTTACAGCTGTATCTATGGCTGCCTGGATATTTTTCCAAGCTTCTTCAGGGTGAGCACAGCTGTCGAACACAGATATGTGTTTAGCTAGTTCTTCCTCAAATACGGATTTAGTTTCCTGATCGAGCTGGGGACGTGATGGTTTTACCGCCAGCTGTTTCCTACGTCCGTTCAGTCGTAAGCACACCCGAGCGCGGACCAGTGCATGGTCGGTATCTACGCACGTGTTCCAGAAGGAGCGACAATCTCCTACCGACCCACGCCAACGATAGCTTATTGCTATGTGGTCTATTTGTGTCCAGCGTTGGTTTGATGAAGGGGGTCTCCAAGTCAAACAGTGTCTCTCCTTGTGTTTGAAGTTAGTGCTTACAAGAAACAAATGATTATCAGAGCAGAACTGTAGGAGACGGTCACCGTTGTCGGTTCGCTGGCACGGAACTCCATAGGTGCCACCGACATCCTTCTCAGATTGACACAATTTCCCTACTTGAGCGTTAAAGTCACCAGCTAGAACGACTATGTCTGAGCGTTTAGCCTTTCCACCAAACTAGACAGCTTTTGGTAGAACTCATCCTTCGTTTCATCTGAACTGCAGTCAGTGGGGGCGTAGGCGGAGATTACGAAAAGGCATCGGCGAGTAGTGCAGTCCTTCCTCCTTCTTACTGATCCGTTCAGGCGGACAGCACACATTCGGCTATCTACCGGGATCCAGTCAAGCAATGTCTTTTCTGCCCTAGTACTCAAAGCTATCCCTACGCCAGCTAATCCTCGTGAACTAGCTGTGGCATCTCCTGACACCCTCAGGTGAATTTTGCAGATTCAACCTGTTGGCCAGGTGGGGTTAGGTGAATAACCACACTTGGGTCTTGTATGCGTGTTTCTGAAACACAGCATACATCAATGGCTCGTGATGCCAGGGTCTTGGCTAGTGATGCTTGTTGTCCTATTTGGCAAAGTGTCCTAACATTAAGAGCTCCTATATGAAATTGGTGGCGCGGCTTTAAGAGGCTGTCGGTGGTGGTTTTTTGGCTTCCATCGTTTTTAGTGGACGCAGAGTGGAGAGGAAGTGGAGAGCTATCAAGTCGAGGAGTTGCATCAGTGGAAGGAAGGCAAGATGATAGAGATGAAGATGAAGACAAAGATGAGTGAGTAATAGAGAGGTTTCGTGTGCATTTCGGATTGTGAGGGCGATTGTTACTTCCCGGCTGCCCACACCGTGGAAGTTGGTTGCGTGACCGCAGAGCCCAGGGGACAACTGCAATAATAATGATAACAGCTAAGGTAATAATAATGATAATACAGGTGAAAATTGCCGTCGGATTGTTTCACACAGTATTGTCGATGCAGTATAGAAAGCTGAGGGTAAAGTGGATGTTCCAAGTCAGACAAAATCCCTCTAGCAAATTTATTTCACGAAGTCAAGTGTCTATCGACAACGGCGTTGACTATGTGGTTCACTGGGACAGCACTCACCCTACTGACAATCTCCAGCATTCTATGAATTGTGACATAGTCTTTTTTAAGCAAACCAGGAAAGAATAAGGGTGAACAATAAAAAAGGATAGGTAGGATGCAAGCGTTTATGAACTGTAAGAGGAGGGGTTGAGTTATACCCGAGTGCCTTAACTTCTTAATGTAAAATGTCAGGCGGAATATTTTACTGGAGATCGCTAAGACATGGGAAGACCAGAAGAGACAATAAGTACAAGATATTTAATTCCTATATCACTGTCGTCAATGTTACAACTGTCATAGGAATCGACGACTTCTCTTAACTGTCTTTTACATCTTAAGCTGAAATTAACAGTTTGACATTTAGAAGGAATCAATTCAAGACCATTTACTGACTCCCAACAGAAAGCTATTTATTTAGATACAATCTAGCTGGGAGTTAACAGCTATTGAAAATGTTAATTCATCAGCGTACTTCACAATGTTAACTCCATCAGTGAGGCAAGTCATGTAAATCATAAGAGTCCTCATATAATAGACGTGTGGCTCATAGCCAACTGCATAATACAGTACAAATCGATTAATTCAGTATTTAGTTACCATCTATCGTGTGCAGAATTAATTACCAGAAGCCTCCAGATACTGAATACTCCCCATTT